GGAGAACCTGGCTGACACCAGTGCTCATTTTCTCTGAAGGCATAATTTCATGCCTAATGGGTTACCTTAGGAATATAAAAGACATCTTTCCTCCTGAAGCATATCATCATTAATGTTTATACCTATTTTGCGACACGCTATGTACTAATATAATTATAGATTCTACTTCTAGGGTGCTCGTAAAAAGGATTGCAAAAATTCTTTGCTTGCCTGGTCCCTAGCTCCATGCTGTGGGCTGCAAATAGAGCTGGAACTGTTCTTAGAGGGTTAAGCATTTTCTCACCTTTGCTATGGGGTCCTGTTGGGGATGGCAGGCTCCAAGAGGATGCCTAGTTGGCAGATTGCAGCGTAGCAATGCAGCGAGTGCCTTGCCCGTGGTGCTTAGTCCTGCAGCTGCAGGACCACAGAGCTTCATTTTAGCTTTTCAAAGGTTGTCTTGGTGTTAAGAGAAAACTGTGTCAAGGTATTGTATCAGATAGTGTAGTATGAGTCTTCAACAGATTCAACAGATTCATAAAAATCAAGGTGGAAACAGGCCTCCTCTGCTGCTAATAATCATCTCCCTTATTGGTGTTTATTTGTGGAGGACCTCTATCAATTTAAAATTACTTTTGAGCATAAAGTCTTGCCACGAGTGTTACCCAGTTCTGCCCACCATGTAGCTAAATTCATCTTTGCTATTAACCAGTAGTATCTTACACTGTCCATTGGGAAGAATATAGAGTATTTCGGAGAAGATTTGCAAAGTTATAAAAAGATTAACAGTTAAACAGTAAAAACAGTTAACAGAAAACATGGTAGAAGTTTTCATTCTTGGACTCATGAATATTCATGAAATATTTCATGAAGCCATTCAAAATTCAAGGCTTTGAAAGAGGTTAAAACTCCATCCTATTATTTACAACAGGGTTTTGCTTCATAGGGCAACATATTTGTACTCTGTAAGAACTATCCAGTGACATTCTCTTGATGGAATTATCAGATGCTAAGAGGCAAGTGTTTTTGAATCTTAACATATTTCTACCTTAAAAAGAGAAAGAGAGAGATCCTTAAACTGTATATTCACAAACAAAAGGAGAATAAAGGAGAATAAGGGAGAAGTGGCTCAGCGGAAACACTGAATTATGGCTGCATTTGAGCCTGGTAACTGCAGGGCTCTTTCGGAGTTCAGAGCTCAGCCCTTGCCCATGAAATTCTATTCGCGAATTATTTAATTCACGTTGCCTGAGAGAGGCAGAAAGGCTGGGGCAGCTCGGAGCAGGGCCGCGCTCGTGCCCGTGTGTGTGTCAAACCGCCCGGGTAATTCCATGCCTTGGGAAACACGGCG